CACATTGACACACATGTAGGCGAGAATGGCAACGACTTCTATCTATTACACCCAGTCGATCAATTGCCACGCTTGAGTGGAGCTTATTCAAACAAAGGAAATTAATGGTTCATTAAGGAAATGTGCTAACGTTGCAAGTAGCTGTAGGACGTTTACCTTCTATATTTAATAAAGTAATTGTTACGTTCTATAGTAAATATATGTCATGCGAGTCTATATACATATATATATGCTTATATATATATACACATTATATATATATATATATATATATATATATATATATATATATATATATATATATATATATATATATATATATATATATATATATATATATATATATATATATATATATATATATATATATATATATATATATATATATATATATATATATATATATATGGTAGCCAGTTGAGCAGAGCTTGACCGGCCATTAAGACACAAAGGTCAGCCTGACCTACACAACCACCAAGGGCTACCGATAATCTATTGTTACTTAGACCGATACCTTGGTAGATCGAACCTGCCAATCGATCAGAGTACGGCACGCACCCGACATTGTGATTTATCTAATAGACATGTACGTCTGACAGGGTCGTCTAGCCTTGGTTGGCAGGCTCATGACGTGGCAGGGTCATGACGTGGCAGGTCCACGTGGGTCATTAGCTGGACAGAACATGGGGCAGTTGCTGGGTTGTTTTTTACACAACCCTCTTTTAGTCTCGCTTAGGCGCACCTTTCTGCATCCAACCGATCACGCGGCTATGTGTCCGGTCACGCGGAGCTATGTGTCCGGTCACGTGGAGCTATGTGTCCAGTCACGCGGAGCTATGTGTCCAGTCACGCGGAGCTATGTGTCCGGTCACGCGGAGCTATGTGTCCAGTCACGCGGAGCTATGTGTCCGGTCACGTGGAGCTATGTGTCCAGTCACGCGGAGCTACGTGTCCAGTCACGCGGAGCTATGTGTCCGGTCACGCGGAGCTATGTGTCCGGTCACGTGGAGCTATGTGTCCGGTCACGTGGAGCTACGTGTCCAGTCACTTGGAGCTATGTGTCCAGTCACGCGGAGCTACGTGTCCAGTCACGCGGAGCTACGTGTCCAGTCACGCGGAGCTATGTGTCCGGTCACGCGGAGCTATGTGTCCGGTCACTTGGAGCTATGTGTCCGGTCATGTGGAGCTACGTGTCCGGTCACGTGGAGCTATGTGTCCGGTCATGTGCAGTGTTTCTTCCAGACTTTTTTCTCCGGGGGGGCACTTGAAATCTTCGGGGGGGGGGGGGGGGGGGCGGTAAACTTTCTTCGGGGGGCGGACACTGTTAAAAGTATATATTTTCTATATAAATTATATAAATTTCATTTCGTTCGGGGGGGGCGGTAAAAATTTTTCGGGGGGGCAAAGCCCCCCCGAAGAGATGCCTGGAAGAAACTCCGGTCATGTGGAGCTATGTGTCCGGTCACGCGGAGCTATGTGTCCGGTCACGCGGAGCTATGTGTCCAGTCATGTGGAGCTATGTGTCCAGTCACGTGGAGCTATGTGTCCGGTCATGTGGAGCTATGTGTCCGGTCACGTCGAGCTATGTGTCCGGTCACGAAAAGCTACATGTCCGGTCACGTGGAGCCATATCATGTCCGGCAGGTGACGCTATGTGTCCGGTCACGTGGAGCTAGATGTCCGGTCACGTGGGGCTCATGGTCCCGAGACAACCAGTGATATGCTACTGTTTAGATAAGCCGTTGGTTATATTTTAGCCTGGTTATTCTATATCCCCGATGACGTTAGTGATTGCTGTCTACACTGGGGAAGTTGTAATTTTTATATCTCTTAAACAATTTTTTTTAAAATACGTATAAAAAATATTTTTTTTTTTAAAAGCGTGTTTGAAATAATACATGTGGCGGGTTGTGACTACAGATCTAAGATTTTGGTAATCTGATCAAAAGGCTGAGAAACACATTCCCGCTGGAGAGATATACACACATTCTCCCTGGAGAGATATACACACATTCCCACTGGAGAGATATACACACATTCCCACTGGAGAGATATACACACATTCTCCCTGGAGACACACACACACGGTAGACAAACACATACCTGCTGTCCTCCACAATATCAAAAGGACAATAGCAGGATTGTCCGATACGGTCATGATTTTTACACTAGCGACCTCCCTGTCCCCACCCCAGCCTTCTATGAATAAAAAATCAATTTAGTGGTATATCATTACATGGAGTCTACCTCAAACCATATCGTACCTAACCATTGTCTGTGAATATAGAGGCAACAACAAGGAAGTTTTATTAGGGTCCTAGCTTGATTCATATTGGCATGCTATTGTACGCAATTCATACATATTGGTATATACTGCTGTACACTATTCATACATAATAACGTTTCCTTCTTCAGTTGATATTAACTAACTTCATCTTAGTAGGGAACTAACTAAATCTTTCTGTACATCAGTAATGGAAACTTTTCGAAAATGTACACATTACACATACGTGCACGGAAACAAGTAAACACATACACATATGTTTCACTCAATTTATCAGAACACAAACTAACCCAGCACCCTGATATCTTCAGCCAATCAATCAGTATAGAGAACCCTGATATCTTTAGCCAATCAGTATAGAGAACCCTGATATCTTTAGAGAATCAGTATAGAGAACCCTGATATCTTTAGCCAATCAGTATAGAGAACCCTGATATCTTTAGCCAATCAGTATAGAGAACCCTGATATCTTTAGAGAATCAGTATAGAGAACCCTGATATCTTTAGAGAATCAGTATAGAGAACCCTGATATCTTTAGAGAATCAGTATAGAGAACCCTGATATCTTTAGCCAATCAGTATAGAGAACCCTGATATCTTTAGCCAATCAGTATAGAGAACCCTGATATCTTTAGCCAATCAGTATAGAGAACCCTGATATCTTTAGAGAATCAGTATAGAGAACCCTGATATCTTTAGAGAATCAGTATAGAGAACCCTGATATCTTTAGAGAATCAGTATAGAGAACCCTGATATCTTTAGCCAATCAGTATAGAGAACCCTGATATCTTTAGCCAATCAGTATAGAGAACCCTGATATTTTTAGCCAATCAGTATAGAGAACCCTGATATCTTTAGCCAATCAGTATAGAGAACCCTGATATCTTTAGCCAATCAGTATAGAGAACCCTGATATCTTTTGCCAATCAGTATAGAGAACCCTGATATCTTTAGCCAATTAGTGCCCTGCACCCTGATATCTTTAGCCAATTAGTGCCCTGCACCCTGATATCTTTTACTAATTAGTGCTAACACCCTGTTAACTTTAACTGATCTGATCAAATCCCCTCTATCAGATATTTTTATCCAATCAGTAAACCAGTCAAAAACCTGCACCATATCTTTAGCCAACTAGTACCAAGCACCAATCAAAAGACAGAAAACTTAAGCATATAAAAACCTTGAGCTTAAAACAACAAGAATTTTGAATGTAGCAACTTAATTCTCTTGTGTTTGCAGAAATGATGACACAAGCACTTGAACAAATGTTTTGACAAAAAACAATAAAACAGATTAACACAACAAAATAAAATCAATAGCTTGGTTTAGTATAAAAAAAATCTTTGTTCTTTTCAATTTAAAAAAATTACTGCTGGTGGTGGCCTCTACAGTTTTTAATTTGAAGGCACAAAACATTTCATTGATGCCAAATTGATTGGTGATCCCTACAATCAATCCTTGATGCTGGCACGAATTCTGAGTGTTCATTGCTAGGTAACTAGTTACTTTAAAGGAATATTTGCTTTACAGCAGAGCAATTGCAACACACTAGTTCAAATTTGATTTATGATAAGTAAAATAATATAAAGGTGTATATTAAAATTAACATCTTCAATAAGATGATATGAAAAAAAATCTATTTTTGGGTTATTAGCTATCAAATTGTATGTTAAATTATTTAATGACATATTGTAAGAAGCCAAACAAAAGAATTCATTAGTGTAAAAATTCATCATAATTCAGCAGTAACATTTTACAGTGCTGTCATAAATCATATTTAAATGCTGATGTTGCTAATATTAATGACATTACTAGAGTTTCATGTGTCATCATTGATCATTAGATGCTAATGTGACAAAGTTAAAGCAGGATTATGATAATACTTATTCATACTTCAAGTTATGTTTTGGACCTTTTTGCATTGCTACTGTTGCCCTCTATCACTCTATAATTTTTATAAAACTATAACAACTTTAAAATAAAAAATTTTAATGGCATTGTCTTATTATCCACACTTCCTAGGCAGGGCATTATAGTTTTATAAATTTATAGAAACTGATTTAAGTAGTATCAAGCCAAATAAGAGAAAAGTAAGGGCTAGGGTAAAAAAATGTCTAAGGTATTTAAATTTAATGATATAGGGGTCGGCGCGGTGGTCGGTAAAGCTCATGGTTGCTAAACCGAAAAGTCTCGAGTTTGATCCCTTCCAACACTAAAAATTAAGAACAAAGAAAGAAGGATGCTATAATTTAAAAAGATGTCTAAAAGCCGTCAAAATGCTATAATTAAAAAAGATGTCTAAAAGCCGTCAAAATGCTATAATTAAAAAAGATGTCTAAAAGCTCATGGTTGCTAAACCGAAAAGTCTCGAGTTTGATCCCTTCCAACACTAAAAATTAAGAACAAAGAAAGAAGGATGCTATAATTTAAAAAGATGTCTAAAAGCCGTCAAAATGCTATAATTAAAAAAGATGTCTAAAAGCCGTCAAAATGCTATAATTAAAAAAGATGTCTAAAAGCCGTCAAAATGCTATAATTAAAAAAGATGTCTAAAAGCCGTCAAAATGCTATAATTAAAAAAGATGTCTAAAAGCCGTCAAAATGCTATAATTAAAAAAGATGTCTAAAAGCCGTCAAAATGCTATAATTAAAAAAGATGTCTAAAAGCCGTCAAAATGCTATAATTAAAAAAGATGTGTAAAAGCCGTCACTCACCCTCTCACTTAATGCATTGTATTTGATGCTCAGCTCGTCCCTCTCTGCCCTGGAGGCTGACAGCAGATCCTCCACACGGTTCAGCTCCTGGGACAGGAGCCTGTTCTCCTCCTGCAGGGTCCCCACTGACAAGTGGGAGGACATCTCAGGCAAAGGCCCACTGAACTCGTCACTGGAAAGATTTTTTGTGATAATTTCTCTGATGCGAGCTGGGATTTTGGCCGAGCTACCGTCAGTGCCCCTAAGTGTAAATTCTTCAGTATCTCTCAAAATAGAATCCTCCAGCTTCTGAAATATAGATAACACTTAGGTTTATGTTGCTTGCAGATATAAATATTTTTAGCATCATTTATAACATTTTAATTTTTTGACAGGTAGTGCTCTAAAAGATCTCTTTCAAGGCTATAATATTGATTCTCATCTACAAACTATGTGCTACTCATTGCATTTAAATTAATATGCTTGTAGAATGTATTTTTTTGATTTTGTTGATCACCCTATTTCTAAGAATAGTATCAAGTAGACAAACAACATGTCTAAATCAATTTTGTTGCAATGATCATTTTAAAGAAAACCTCTAGGCTACCTCAAATTTTTACAAAAATACAAAAAAAAGGATTCCTTTAATTGCTAAAAGATGTAATGTATTATTTGAAAAAGTATTTTTTTTAACTCTAGACAGGTTACCTTTGACTGTAAGCTATTCATTTTTTTCTTAATAAACAGAAATAAATATCTGTGTGTTGTTGTTATTTTATTTTTGAAATAAATATAATGGTCATTCTAATGGGATAGTATGTGAATAATAATGTAAATTATCAAAATTAAGTCAGCTGCTTTATGAGAAAGAAAAAAGCTAACTCTTAACTAAAACAAATCTAATAGATTTTTTAATGTCATTGTATAGGCCTATATAGTATATACTATATAGTATATATGATTTTATATCTTAATTAAAAAAAAATCAGGTGGTGCTTTTTAGAAAAGTGCATGCGTGTAATATTAACTTATCAACCCAGTTATTATAATTAAATTGGCAAATAACTAAATAACAGAACCCAAAGTAAAACATAGAAAGCAAAGCCAAAGGCCAATAAAATTCTACAGTAGGGCCTACTCAAAACCAATCTCTTTTTATTTGATTTTTAAAAATCAATTAATTATCTAACCCAATAAGATGTAGGTTTATAGTTGTATCCTAATACTGAAGCAATGTCGTCTGTCTCTTCGCTATGATTCATTTTATCAATTTCGTAATTGGTTGGAAGATTAAAATAAATATAATCGTCCAGCTTTCTCCTCGCACCGCGATTAACTTGATCAGGATTTTCTTCCTCTTCGACTTCGTCGTCTCTAACTGGAGGTGATTTTCGGTACATGTTTAATTTAATGTTTACTATTGTTTTTCCGTTCTCAAAACATTTGATTAGGAGAAATTTGCACTCCAGTAAAGTCTTAATATTATTAATAGCCTTCGTCTTGCTCTAGACTAGTTCTATTAACGCTACATTTAATTTAAGACATCTGGTCAAGCAATTTCTTCGAATTTTAACTAACAATGAATGAAAAAGGAAAGCGGAAGTAAAACAACTTTTGACTACTATACAGTTTTAGCAGTAGCAATATAATGACGAAAAATAATTTTATACTGCAGCTGGGAGCTTTAGTTAGAGCTTTACTGTTTTACTTACGGAAAACATTAAAATAATTTAAAATTGAACATATTATATTAAAGTAGGCTTTTACAAAGTAAGATAAGAAGTCTACAACGTCGTTGGTAGTGGGGAGAGTGATTATTCTTTTGTGTTGATGAATATGAAACGTGGGGCGAGAGAAGGTGGAAAAGGTGTTGGGCAGACAATAATGTCTCTTAACAACGTAACATCGACTATTGTTGTAACCATTGTGTAATAAGTAAGCAGGTCTACAAAACATGGAGAACCTAATCAATGAAATAAACTCACTAGATCTTAGCTTTCAGGCCCTTGTGCTCTAAATAATAGTTGCTGTTGTTGTTTTTTTTTTAAATCACCCCCCCCCGGGTCAATTATCCCCCCCCCCCCCCCCCCCTTCCGGCGTTTCTCCCAGATGAATTATTCCCTGTCAATTAAGCCCATGTACAGTATAATATCCAGCACCAAAAAAACTGCAAAGGGACATTACAAAATACTTTTTAGGAGGTAAATTACCTTGGATAATTGACGGGGGGGGGGGGGGGGGGGGTGGGGATAATTGACGGCGAGGGAATGGAAGGGAGGGGGTGATTCTGACAATGAGGAAGGGCGGTAATTGGGTGGGGATAAACTCTAGAGCCAACCTGACAAGGGTTTAATGTATAATGAAAGGTTATTCCGTATAGGCTGGGTAGTATATTTTTGTATTTCATTCAACCCGTTATACCCAGCACGAACCTACCAAATGCTTTCTTATTTTTGCCCACTTAACAGAATACTTATTGTGAATTAAAGAGCAGTTTTTAAACACATAATGACATAGGGGAGTTGAAATAGTTCTGCCTAGCGAACTGTTTCAGAAAAAAAACACGAAGGCTCAGTGAAAGGATCCGCGGCTTGAATAAATGCGCTTGGTTAAACCAATACAAGTAAACAATCCACGGCCCACATACGCAGTTCAAGTATTGAACGTTCATAGATCAAGTAAATACGTATACTTGAAACACGATAGGTCTAATTTTTTGGGGGAAATGAGATTAGTCTAGGATTTGATAAGCAGTGCCCCGTATTGCCGTCTGCCAATGAAGAAATTGATCAGTTCGCCAGGGCCAAGTTGACAACAGAAAGTTGCATAGAAACAAAGCGTTGGCCAGGCGTGGTCACCGACTTTGATTACAAAACTAATTACACTTATCTGGCATATCACACTCGTCAACGTAAACATGAAAATGTAGTTAAATGTAAAAAAAAAAAAAAGTAGGCTACTAAAAAGTCAAATTTAAATCTTGTGAAAACTGGAACACTTCTCTGTCTATTACACAGAAAATGTTTTGAGAATTTAAATATTTCGAATTGACCATTGCCATAGTGATTCCCGTTCATACTTGAGAGAAGCAAATTAAAATGGAACGTTTAAATCATTATATACACACGTTGTAAAAAACAAAACGAATACTATTTTTGTTGAACGTGATATATATATATATATATATATATATATATATATATATATATATATATATATATATATATATATATGTATATGTATATATATATAATACTTATTATTGTAGGCCTACTTTTAGTTTCTACTAATAGTATTTCTAATGTCGTCCATATTGCGTTATAACATGTCGCATGTACAGAAATTATCTAGCTACTTCGAAAAGATTACTTTGTACATCAGATAATGGTGCATACTGTACATGGTAGATCTGCACATTTTTGCGTGGTCGCTCCAGGATAACACATGTTTTAAAATAACTGGCGCCCCAAGATTCACACATATTTTAAAATGACTAGTGTCCCAAGATTCGCACATATTTTCAAGTGGTAACTGGCGCTCCACCATTCGCACAACATACCGTCGCCCCATGATTTACGAAAATACAGAGCACCAACATCTGATGTTATTCTAACGGACCAACTTTGTATCATCAACTTTTTTCTTTTGTGCCCTAGACATATGGAGCAGCCACAGAAAGCTCCGTCCACTTTTGCCGGCCTCTGGCAGTTTTCTTGGCTGTTCCTCAAGATGGTACCGCTTCTGTCCGTTTTGCACGTCCACGTCTCCCTTCCCAGTTTTCTTTTTCATTGAGGCGTCCAGTTTAGTGCTATTCCTGCGATGGTATCTGTATTCATTCTCAAAACCTACCCTATCTCGCGGTATCTCCTTTTTCGAATATTTCGGAAACGGCTTTTTTAAAAATGTATCCTATTAATCTATCATTGGAGATGTTGTTATGCTAGAGGATGCCTTTTATCCTTCTCAGACACTGAGTTTGTAAAGAACCCAGTGATCTGCTCGTAGCAGTCAAATTAGTGGGTCTATATTGTACAGCTAATGGATAAGAGCACACTTATTTATTAACTCATCGCATTTTATAACCCGTGATTAGAATTAAAGCACACCACACCCAAGTTCTGCTAATCAAATACATTCACCTGTAATTTTAAAACTTACCTTTCATGGAATTAACTCCGGTAACAACACACCCCTACATGGGCTCGGCCCTACGTGCTAGTTGTGAAATTAACACCTGATTTAAAAACGACTTCACGCCAAGATTGCACATGCACATAGGGAATTCCGTGCGAACACCTTTACACCGCTTATGACTGAAGCTCTAATTACCAAGACCGCCCCTATCCCGTGAATAGTATAGGGCACTATAGGCTGGTATTAATGAATCTCCTATTTGCGTGCACTGTGACTACTGTAGGCCGTTGATGTATTCATTGCGGAATATCAGTATGCTGATTTGTGGTGTGTGCAAGCCATAAATTGTAGACTGTTATTTAGAATAAGTCGGCAGAACTATATGTAGAGTATTGAGATTTTTTTTTCTGCCGGCATTATAGTTAGTGTTCGTCAGAGTTAGACTCAGAGCTAGGGTTAGAGCCCATTTTATTGTTAAGGCGTCCAGTCAAATTCAATAAATACCAAATCTTTTTCTGTTAGGGTCAAGGTTATGATTAGGGTTATGAATGTGGCTGGGTCGACATTAGGACAGGATTAGATACATGGTTAATATCAAATTTAGAATCAGAGTTATTGTTAAGGTAACAATCCTAGGTTTTTTTTAAACAGCTTCGAAACTTTCTAACAACTTTTTGTTAAGCACCTATACCTAAGACTGATACCCATACCTGTTATTAATTAACTTCATACATTACTAGTCCGTTCTACACACAAAGCATCATACAACCAACAAATACTATAGTCACTGATGTGATGGAAAGTCTAAAGACTTTATAAAGGAGATTTTCTTCGAGGTATAGAAATAAGATCGTTACTGAAGATTATGTCCGTTATTTTTATCTTGGATGTTTTTTGTCATTCTTTCAACATGTCCTTAGCTACATTCATCTTAAAGGGAGATAATGATATTTGATTATTACAATATTTCAGTAGTTTTTCCAATCATTTTAAACAATGAGGTGCTTAATATTTTTACACAGCTTGCATGCAAGAACTCTTTTTAAAAAAACAACTATGGCCACCTTAAGGCCATAATACCTAGTCTTTATGGAGAGGCGTGTAATTCAACTATAGGGAAACGATCTACACATGGTATGGTAAAATAATGATACATATTGAGGGAGAGAAATCGTTAAGATAGGCTTGTTTGTTTGTTGTTCTGTCTGCACATGTGTCTGTATGTCTGCATTTTTGGATGAATTTATTTTTGTCTGTTTATTTGTCTAACCGCAATCAACTAACACATGAAAAAAAAAAACCCTCATATTTAGCGGTATCAGAGCTCTTTTGATTTGTGTCGGATTACCTTTTCGAAAACTGTTTTTAAACTCTCGGAGTTTGGTCTACAGTAACATATATTGTTAGAGATTAGCGATTTATACTGAAATGTCCTTGTCGGCGATACTGTAAACTAGTCTACACGGGTACGACTAAACGAACCGTTCTATGCCATTAGACAGGAGGCCTGTAGTAAGAGATACACGAAGTAGTTTTCTTTCCAGTCAATAAAAATAATGCGGAGAGGAAGATTTACCTGGATGACCCTCTCAAGCCGTTGGTCTCTGTCGTAAGACATCAGTGGTGTCCATACAGTTTCTGGCACACTCGTTCTATGGATAGCACCAAGACAAACCCTACAGTTTTAAAGATCCCAGAACCGATGGGAACGTATGGTATATTTACAAGACTTCAGTTTTTAAAAAGTAAAGCCAAACGCTAAGGCATAAATATTATTTAAATGCCGTCAAACTCGAAGCCATAAATAACTGATAAAATATAAATTATACTTTCATATTTATCGAACAATAGTTACACTTTTTAACCTAGATATTTAAAAAAAATTAGAAAATAATATAATTTATATTTAACTAATAAATATTTATATAAAAATTTCAATTATATCAAATTTTAACGAAAAACTCATAAAGTAAACTAACAGCCGGTAATAAGAACCTGACTCCTCCACTTCTAACACAATAACAAACACACGAGTTATTTCCCCTCGGTGTCTCTCGCTGTCAACTTGGAACGAGACACGACGCGAGAAAAACTCCTCAAGATATACCACTGATCCAAAACCACCTAGACGACCGCGGGCAATTACATCACATGAGCACAGCGGCACAGAAATAGGCCAGCCCTGATTGACACAGCATTCGATAGTTCGATACTACAACCGTTGGGCCCGGTTGTCCGCCCCTTGCCGCGGCGTGT